GCCCGGGCGGGTCTCAAACCCGCGGGCTCAGGCAATTCACTCACCTCAGCCTCCCAAAGCGTGGGATTACAGGCTGAGCCACCCAGCCCGGCTTATTTGTCCTTTTGTATCTAGCCTCTTTCATTTAATATAACGTTTTCAAGGTTAATCCATATGAAGTTAAAAATGTGCATGCCTTTTGACCTAACCATTCCTATTCTTAATACACACTCCATAGAACCTTTGTCTTATAGGATCAATGTCATTTGTAAAGATGTCCATAGCACCAGTTTGTGATAGTTCAAAACCAGAAAGAACCTGAAAGCCCATCAACAATAGATGGGCAAATGAATTGTAATATATCCAGACACCATGCATGAGTAATGTTAAAGTCAGCTATCGGCATCAATGGGGATATATTTCAATGTGATAGTAAGGGAAGAAAGCATGTCATGAGTAGGATTCCATTTAGATCGAGATCAAAAATAGGAGAAACTGGGGTAACCCCTTCAGGTCTCCTCCCACTGTGGGAACTTTTCTGTCCTCTCAATAAATCCTGCTTTCAAAAAAAAAAAATAGGAGAAACTGAACATTGTATTATTTAGAGATATATTTATAATAGGAACTATAAAACCAAGCAAGGGAATGACAAACACATATATCAGGATAGTGTGCACTGCGTGTCACATAGTGGGCTTCTAGATGATAAGGTTGTGTCTCTTGACATATAGTGGGCTTCCTAGATGATAACTCTTAACCTCACTGGGGGAAGGGGTGTGGGTTTCAGGCACTCATTTTATTATTTATATTCCATCTGTGTGTGTGTGAAAGTGTGTATAATTGCACTCATGACTATGCTAATTTAATAACAGCTTACGTTTGTTTACTTCTTTAAAAGCTAAGTGTAAGATAACACCAAAATCATGCAAAACAAGTTTTTCATTATTCTTGTATTACCTGGTTATTTGTTAGTTTGTGAGAAGTGATAGTAAGGCAAGTAGCATTTTTGGAAAGAGAAGGTTTTTTAAAAGTATTTGAGCCACCTGCACATAAACCACTTATGTACCTAATCCTAACGTGAACCCCACATCTTTAAAATAAAATAAGGCAAAAAAAGTATTTGAGCAAACATTATTAAGCCAGAAATCATATTAATTTTTGGAACTAATGAATTTTGTTTCACACAAGAAAATAAGTTCATAAAGCAGCAAATCCAAAAGTTAGTTTTGTGGGCTTCTTGCATAGGCAGGCACACCATAGAATCCTTTAGCTTGACATGCTAGAACATCTTGCTATGGTAGACACTAAAGTTAGCATATAAGAAGAAGGCAGTCAAGCATCCTTCAAAATCCTTAAATTGCCCCAAAAGTATGGTTGTGTATACAATGTGATATGAATATATATACAATGTCAATATTGTGCTGTAAAGCACACTTGAGCAAAATACACAAGTCCTGAAGCTGAGTAGCTGAGTTCCTGTAATGTGCAGTTACTGTTGCCTAGGAGAATTCATTTCCACTGTAGCTCAGCTGGCGCCTGAGGCAGCATGGAGATGACTGAGTTCAGACTCTGGTGTCCGGGTCCAAATCCCCGATCTGGCACTACTAGCTCTGTGTTGTATGTATGTGGTGGGGGAGGGGATAGGGAGGAGTGTGTATAATTGCACTCATGAATATGCCGATTTAATAATAACAGCTTGGGTTTGTTTGCTTCTTTAAAAGGTAAGTGCAAAATGACCCCAAAAATATGCAAAACAGATTGTCATTATTCTTGTTTACAGAGTTATTTGTTAGTTTGGGAGGAATGATAGTTGCTTAGCTTTTCTGGGTCTCAGTTTTGTTCTGTGTAAAATGGAGATAACAATGTCAACTGTTTCATGAAGTTGTTACAAGCTCACATCTACAAAGCACTTAAGTAGTGCACAAAGCTAATACTATATATGTTTGTTGAGTAAGAGTAAATTTAAATAGAGTGTACGCATGGTGGTTCATTCCTGTAATTCCATCACTTTGGGAGGCAAAGGCGAGAGGATCGTTTGAGCCCAGAAATTCAAGACCAGCTTGGGCAACCTCTACAAAAAAGCAAAAAATTAGCTGGGCATGGTTATGCATGACTGTAGACCCAGCTACTTAAGAAACTGAAGAGGAAAGATTGCCTGAGTTTAGGTGGCTGAGGTCACACTGAGCAATGATTGTGCCACTGCACTCCCGCCTGGGTGACAGAGTAAAATCCCACCTCAAAAAAAAAAAAAAAAAAAAAAATTCCCAACACACTTAGACAGGATAGCAGCAATGACACAAGGGACTCACAACAACAACAAAAACACATTTAACACATTTTTCAACTACATTTTTTTTATGTATAAGGCAAGAAAAAAAAAATCATTGTCTATCGGAGGAAAAACTCAGATTATACCAATTTTGCTTGACCTATTTTGTGACAAAAAGCACAAAATTTCAGAACTTTTCTTCCACGTATGTGAGCAAAATTGATGTTTTAAGCAGATAGAGTAATTTGTCCTATGAGTCTGAGTCCTCCACAGCACCCTATGTTTTACACACCTAAAGAATGCATGCTCCACTATGACAATCTAAGCCTTGATCTTTCATTATGTAAATAGGCAAGTACAACCTGCAACCCGCTGACTGCATGCAGTCCAGGGTAGCTAGTAAAATGGTCCCACACAATCTTTTAATATCATGTGTCTTTTAGCATTTATTTTCTCTGTGATTCCATGCATATTTCCATTTTTGAAGTTTACAGTCACAACTTATTAATGACATTGCTTTTTGTCAGCACATATACATATTTGTGAGCAGCTGATTTTACTTAGGAAGCACACGAAGAGCAAAATTTGGACAAACGTTTCTGACAAGCACATTGAGAACTAAGAACTGCAAACACTTCCATCCAACCAGATTGATAGATTCGTTTTACAAAACGAGGTCAAATTTCCCTCTAGTTACATATTGTTCCCATTTTTCTAAACTTTATAATAAAAATATAAAAAAATAAAATGTCTTATCATGTATATACACTAACTATATCATATAATTTATTTGCAACCCAAGACCATTCCTCTTTATTTGGTGCAGTCCAGGGAAACCAAAAGGTTACTTGGTATGGTCCAGAGAAACCAAAAGATTAGATAGCCCTGATGTAACACTTTAGTAACTGAGTAATTTCTCAGAAATTGCCCTGGGTCTGTAGAACCAGCAAAAAACAAAAGAGCAGTGAAAGATAATCTACATCTGTGCAATAATTTAGAATTTCTCCAGCCTTCTGTGCTGTCACAATGTGAAGGTCTATTAAGGTCACACACAGTCACATTCCTTGCTCATTTGAAGCATACTTTTTGTCAGAGTGGAATGAAAATAGTGTCAGGAAATGTCAGAATATCTAGAAAGTTGTATAAGTAGTTCCAATTGCACAAAGAGAAGTGCAAGTTCTAAGGGTCAATTAGAAGCATAGTCCAGTGGGCTGGGTACAGTGACTCACACCTGTAATCCCGGCACTTTGTGAGCTGAGGTGGGAGGATTGCTTGAGTCCAGGAGTCTAGACAACAATACAAGATGCTGTTTCTAAAAAAAAAATTTTTTTAAATATCCGGGTGTGGTGGTGCACACCTGTAGTCCTAGTGACTCAGGAAGCTAAGACAGGAGGCTCACACAAGCCCAGGAGGTCAAGGTTACAGTGAACTATGCACCACTGCAGTCCATCCTGGGTAACAGAGTGAGACCCTGTCTTTAAGAAAGTAAAAATAGAATATAAGGCTGCATTATCATAAAAATAGTATGGATATTGGTTTACTATTCCCCTTTGATTCTTTCAGCTGTGGGCTACAAGTCTTGTTCCAGAATTGGTCCGCCCAACCTTGGAAAAAACCCTCAAGGTCCTCCAGCTAGATTACGTGGATCTTTACATCATTGAAATACCCATGGCTTTCAAGGTGAGTTCAGATGCCTAAGGGTTAGGTCTCTGTACCCTGGCAGCCATGAACCAACAGCATGTGCATGATGCTTATTCACTACTTATTACCACAGAATGTTATGGTGTTTTGCTACCAAGGATCAGAGAATACTGACCTAGTATGACAGACACCCAAAAAAGAGTACATTAACAAAATCAGGCCTGGATTCCAAATTTCTTGATTCTCAATTCAATAGAGTTTCTATTATACTACATTTTTGCAATTATAGTTTATGCTCTTTCCATCAAATCAATGTATAGTCCAGTAACTGTAATCTATGTTTCAGTTGTCCAGTGTCTAGACACACACCCTTCTTCCTACTCACACAGTCCCAAAAATGTCTCTGCACAATATAATGCCAAAAAATATAGACAGCTAAAAACATAATTGTCTTTCACCCCCCAAGGGAGATAACCTAAGGAATAGTCAGATTTTTATTTTTTTAATTTTAAAAAAGTATTATTATGTTTTAATAGAGATTAGGTCTCGCTGTGTTGCCCAAGCTTACCTTGAGCTCCTGGGCTTAAGCAATCTTCTTGCCTCAGTCTTCTAAGAGGCTGGGACTACAGGTGCATGCCACCACTCCAGGCTCTAGTTCGATTTTTAAAGCCAGCTCCAAGGCTAGTGGATCTACAAGTGATTAATTCCTTTAGTTCAAATACAATCTTTCTTTGAACTTTCTCAGTCTATGTGCTCAATGTTAATTTAACTTCCAACAACATACCCAATACACACAACTGAAGAGCACAAACTACTTTAAAAGTTCATTGAGGAAAGGAGAGATAGAGAAACAAAATTGGCTACTGGTTCACAAGATAAATCAGATTATGCTGGTCAGAAAGAACAAGGACTTTCTGTCACTGCAGTGACCAAAGTTCCTTTACACAATCAATCTGGCTGCCCCTGCGAATACTTTACTGTTGACTCATCTCTGGTCAAATCCAAGATGAGCTTTGGGCAAGACTCCTCTTTGCCTCCTTTTTTTCCTGGAAATGTGGTTTGGGGGCTTTGTGATTACCTTGGCAACCATAGCTTTTTGTGAGTCAGAGTGATTTCACGGACAAGATAATATTCCTTAAAACCTTGATAGGCTTTCAGTAAATTCACACTCAACCAGTTCCATGAATGATTAATTAAAACTAGAAATCTTACAAGGTCATGTATCTTGTACCTAGTTCTTGGCCTGTAGGTTTCTACCCCTTAGTACAGAGCCCCTTGCTCTGCCCACCTACTCAGTCCTCAGCTTAATGGCTTCCATTTTGGTCTCTGACTTGAAGTAAACAAGACAAAGAGGCACAGATCCTTGTGCAAGGATCCAGTCTGTATCCCACTGGATGGTGCACTTTTGTCAGGCAGGGCATCATGGCCTTCAAAATTTTACCTTCAGAGGGACCTTGAGAACCAAGGTCCAAGTGCGAAGCAAGTTCATCACACACTGGCTACTCTAGCAGGCTCACTGTGCACCAATTACTCTAACACATTAACCCACTGCACCTTGACCTGAAATTGCTACCACTAGTGTGAATTCAGAGGGACAGAACACTCATATAATAAGTTAAGAAAGAAACTGAGTTCTTCACAAGTAGGCAGCAAGGGACAACAGAAGCCTAGGACTCATGATGACCTGGTCCCCAAAGGCTCAGGAAAGCTGCCCAGGGCTGATGGAGTCTAACCTGCACATCCTACATTTCATGTTACCCTCTCCAGCCTAACAGTCCCAACACCTTGTGGACTGCCGTGATTTCTTGTTTACAGGTTCTTGGGTGTTATGATCTCAGCCCTTATCCTCACTTAGTTAAAGGTGACTCTTGTTCAAGTAGCAGATATCTAATCTGAGTCTTAAAAATTTGGAGAGACCCTGTACAGTCATGCATCACTTACATAATGATGAGATACATTCTGAGAAATGTGTTACTAGACAATTTTATTGTGCAAACATCATAGAACTCATTTACACAAACCTGGATGGTAGAGCCTACTGCACACCTCAGCTATATGGTATAGCCTGCTGCTTCTGGTCTACACACCTGCATAGCATGTGACTGTGTTGAATACTGTAGACAATTGTAACACAATGGTATTTGTGTCTATAAACATAGTTAAGTGTAGAAAGGGTACTGTAAAAATACAATATAAAAGATGAAAAATGAATAAGAAACTCACCAGGGATGGAGCTTGCAGGACTGGACGTGAGTGGGTGATGAGTGAACGTGAAGGCCTAGGACGTTGGTGTGCACCACTGTAGACTCTATTAACAATGTACACTTAGGCTACATTAAGTTTATTTTTAAATATTTTTTCTTCAATAATAAATTAACTTAATAAGTTACTTTGTAACTTTTCTACTTGATAAACTTTTAAATTTTTTTTAACTTTTTAACTTTTTTATTTTTTTGAGTTGGAGTCTGACTCTGTCACCCAGATTGGAGTGCAACAGCCACTCCCAACTACCACAGCCTTGACCTGCTGGTCTCCGGCGATCCTTCTGCTTCAGCCTTCCAAGTAGCTGAAACTACAGGCGCGCGCTACCACGTCCGGCTAATTTTTGATTTATTGTAGAGATGAGGTCTCGCCAAGTTGCCCAGGTGGGTCTCAAGCCCGCGGGTTCAGGCAATCCACTCACCTTGGCCTCCCAAAGTGCTGGAATTACAGGTTGAGCTGACTTTTTTGCAATAACACTTAACTTAAAACACAAACATATTGTACAGCTGTATAAATATATTTTTTCTTTATGTCCTTATTTTATGTTTTTTTCTATTTTAATATTTTTTAGCTTTTAAAATTTATGCTAAAAATGAAGATGCAAGCACACATCAGCCTATGCCTATGCATCCATCTCACTGTCTTCTACCTCCACTTCATGTCCCACTGGAAGGACTTTAGGGGCAATAACACTCATGGAGCTGTCTTCTTCCAAGACAGCAATGCCTTCTTCTGGAATACCTCCTGAGGGACCTGCCTGAGACTGTTTTATGGTTTACTTTCTTTTTTTAATAAGTAGAAGGAGTACATTCTAAAATAATGATAAAAAGTATAGTATAGTAAGTGCACAAACCAATAACATAGCTGTTTATTACCATTATCAAGTATTATATGCTGTACATAATTGTATGTGCTATACTTTTATATGACTGGCATCACAGTAGGTTTGTTTACACCTGCACCACCACAGACATGATGGCTATGTCATCACTAGACAAGAGAAATTTTTCAGCTCTGTTATAATCTTATGGTACCACCATCATATATGTGGTCTGTCCTTGACCGAAATGTCATCATGTGGCACATGACTATATTTAAACATGAGATAATAAAATTTACTTCTCTGTGGCTGACTATTGATATTTAAAATCTTTTTGGAGAAGATAGATAATTACTGTTCTTATTCTTGATGGAATCAAGGCAAGGACACAAAACTTTTAACAGTGAAAAATGATATAATATACTGACGTTACCTCCCAACTGAACCTGTAATTGAGAAAGCAATATTTGAAGCTAAAATATCACATGATTTTGAATCTTATGATTTTTTAAACAAAAACCTTTCTTACTAAAATATTTTAGCATGTGTTTTTTTTAAGTAAGCAATTTTAGAACAACAAAATGTAAAAAATTATAAGACATGGTTTTAAAATGAGTGAACAAGAATGAGAATTAATAGCATGGATTTTTAGAGGGTTGAGTTATTCTTCCAATAGTATCAGATGATGAAGAACAAGAATTGAAGAAAAAGACAATGAGGTTTACCAGGTGAAGGGATTAATACAATAGGAATAATGGAAGCTCAAGGCAGACACCTAGAAATATCTAACAACGGTTCAGGTCTGATAACTACTTTATCAAAATTTTGGAAAAGTAAAAATTATGTAACAGAGTTCATGATGAAGGCTTAAGCCATTTTGGAAGGTAAGTAAAATTAAGAAATAAAAAAAAGCAAGAAATATGAAGTAAGACTGGAGTGGAAATGTGGACCTTAAGTGCTGAGAAAGCCAAAGAACTTAGAAATCTGGGGGAAAAGGGTAATGAACATGAACAATAAGGTGGCATCAAGGAAAAAGGAGACTGTTTCCTGCTCTTAGTGACACAGGAGAAAATTGAGAAGAAATTGTCTTTGGTAAAGAGGACAATGGGAAAGTGTTGTCATCAAAGAAGAGTTGAGTTTCATAAAGGTGAGATGGTGGAGGGGAAAAAAAGGGGAACATTTTAAGAGCATAATGGATCTTGTATAATTGCTGGATTCCTTTCTTAATCTGTCTTGTGCTGCCATAAAAGAATACCTGAGACTAGGTAATTTATAACGAACAGAAATTTATTGGCTCACAGTTCTGGAAGCTGGAATGTCCAAGATTAAGGGACCAGCATCTTGCAAAGGCCTTCATCTGTGTCATCACATGATGAAGGAGGAAGGGCAATGAGTACAAAAGAGCACACCTACTCCTGTGAGCCCGTGGACATCAATCCATCACCTAACAATGGTCCTTTCAAACTCAAAATATCCAAAATGATATTCTTGGTTCCTAACCCCAACCTCAGAAAATGATGACAACCATCCATCCACGGAGTCTAGGAATCTTCTCTGATTCTTCTCTGTCCCTCACTACCATCACCTCACCTCATATCCATGCCAGTATCACGTGTATTGGCTCTACTCCTCATTCAAATGCTCATCTCTTCCCTTCTTTTCATCTCTATTGCTTTTACTCCAATTCAGGGCACCAACTGCAATAGTATTTTAGGTTGAGTTCCCCAGAAGCAGGCCCTGAGATGAAGAGAATACATAAAAGGGTGATTTACTTTGAAGTGTAATCAGGAAAAACTGATAAGGGTCTAGGGATATGTGACTGGGAAGTAAGTGATGTGAGGCAGATGTGCGGTAGAAAGCAAGATCTTAGAGAGCAACTTGGGCTCAACGTCATAGGATGCTCTGGAGACAAAGTTGGTCACATCTCAGAATGACACAGTCAAGAGGTCAAGAAACAGGAACATTTATACTTGCAATTTTTGGTTAAAGGCTGCCCAGGGCCAGGGGTGTACATTACTGGGCACATACAACTGAGAAGTTAAACAAGTTCCAGCAACCTGAAGTCTGTCTTCTAACAGATGCAGGTACTGGCTATAGGAAGTGAAAACACAGCATACACCAGAAAGGTAAATGCATCCCAAAAGGTATGAGCAGCTGTCTTAATCTAGCCGGGCTGCTGGATTATAACAAAACTCTTTAGATTGGGTAATTTGTAAACAAATTGTGAGAAATGTATTACTCACAATTATGAATGCTGGAAAGTCCAAATTCTATCATTTTGATTCCCATACATAAATAAATGACATTTACTCTTTTTTTGCAGCCAGGAGATGACTTAAACCCTAGAGATGAGAATGGCAAATGGATATATCACAAGTCAGATCTGTGTGCCACGTGGGAGGTAAGTTCAAGTGGACCCCTTATTGTAAAAGACTATATTTTTAAGCTGTGATCTGATTATTCCTGTCAGATTTATAGAGATACAGCCTTTACTGCCAATGGAAAGTAACAGTAAGAACTAAACTTAATAAAGTACTTATCTATAAAAATATTTAAGATCAAATAATAAAAGGAAAATGTACCCATAATAATTTAGAACTAAAATTTATATATGCTATTGACATCATAGATGTTGAGGGTAGAGTAAGGAATGTGTAAACATGCTAAGTTATTATCTTTCTTGGGGGTATATATATATTTACAGAAACCTATATATATTTAGATATATAGTTATGTACATATACACATAAAGTTCTTAAAATTTAAAAAGTGTAAAAAAAAACTGAAAGAGTGAGATAAATTGAAATAAGAAATTAAGATTGCAGAAATATTTTGAATATATTTATAGTTGTAATAAATATAGATAAATTAAACTCACTTACTAAAAGACAAAGATTGACAGATTAGATTTAAAATGAGTAGCTTAAGCATAAAGACGTGTGAAAGTTAAAACTTTGTAGGAAAAAATCTTATGTGGAATAAGCATATCAGCTAAATACCAAAAAAAGTTGGGATTGTTATGTTAACATCAGATAACAGGCTTAAAATCAAAAGTATTATTAGGGACAGAAGTGGTTATACATAAAGATAAAAGACTGAATTTACCAAAAATATATACCAATTTTAAACACATGTAAACCAAATAAAATATATTCAAAATCTGTACAGCAAAAAAAATTGATAGAATACAGAAAGACTTTGGTAAATCCACTGTTATAATGGGAGACTTCTGACATATTCCTTTCGGTTACTGAGAAGCCAGGAGTAAGTAAACTTAATTTTATATATAATGTGTTTGCATGTGTATATACATACATATATGTATGAGAGAGAAGAGTTTTGCATCCAAAAATAGGAGCATATATAATTTTTCACATATACCAGAGCATTTATAAAAATTGCTCAGGTACTATACCATACAAGAAAGTCTCAAGAAAAAATTTTAAATAAGATCATTATTCATGTGTGAGTATACTTGTGAAAACATTAGGGGAAAATATGTCATACAATATTTTCCAAACTCATTCAATTATAGAATTACTGCCACTTCCCACCCTCGCTTCTTTTATTTTTTTCATAGAATGCTTATTAACATACCCAAGAACTTTCCTTTTTAAAGAAGTCACAGTCACTCATATAAACATTGATTCTTGCTTCTTGTAAGGCTTGTTTCTTGCCCTGTTGGCATTTCCTCTACAGGCTCTAGAAGCTTGCAAAGATGCTGGCTTGGTGAAATCCCTGGGAGTATCCAATTTTAACCGTAGGCAACTGGAGCTCATCCTGAACAAGCCAGAACTTAAGCACAAGCCAGTCAGCAACCAGGTACAGTACAGCCTAACAGCTTCCGACAGGGGTGGAGAGAGGGCAGGATCCAATATAATATTGGTGTAATGGGGGAAAAAAAAGGCCTAGACTAGGAGTCAGAAAGTCTGGTGATTACTACACATAAATCTCATCATAGGACGCTGGGCAAACCTTTTAACTTCTTTAAGTGATATAAACTTTAAAAACCAGATTTGAAAGTTCAAGTCCAGGCAAAAGTAACAAAAAGTGTTTCTGAAGAAGAAAAGCATAGGGGGCACAAGACCTGCCAGATATTAAGACACAGTATAGAGTATTTAAAATAATATAAGGGTAGTGCAAGAACCAATACATACATAAACGGAAAATAACAACTAATTTAGAAACATGCCCAAGTTTAATAAAAACTAATAAAATAGTACAAACTAATGGCAAAGATGAAATTTTCAGTAAATAGATCTTTGTTTCATATTATACTCACAGTTAATGTCTCTTTGATCAGGAGTTAAAGAAAAAAATAGGAAATCATTTGTAAATGCAACAGAATAATTTTAGGTTTCTGGAACTATCAGCAGAAAAGGAAGCCACAAAAAAGCCATAAAGAAAACTTTGACAAATTTAATAATATAAAACTGCTAAGCTCTAAATATTTTAGAAACAATTAAAGAGCCAACAAAAAATAAATAATTTTTAAAAATATAATTCTAAAAAGTTTATATCCTTATGAATTAAAAGTCTAATAAAATCAATAAAAAATCAATGAAAATCAAGGCTCAACAGAAAAATAAGCAAAAGAAATGAGCAGAAATTCACAGAAGAAAAGTTGCAAGACTGGTAAACATGAAAAATATTCAACTCTATTAATTAATTAAAGAAAATTACAAAGTTTTATCTTTTTTTTAAATAAAATTCTCCATATAAGCAACTGATGAGGGCTGGTGAGTGCAAGTTGCTTCAGCCTTACTGAAAAGCAATTTGATAATATTCAGCAAGGGCCTTTAAGAATGTTTACAATCTTTCTAAAAGCTTTAGTCCTGGAAAGATCAAATAAAACTTTTAGGTAAGAGAATTGCTTTTAAAAATGTGAAATTCCTAAAAACCTATCCTAATAAAAAAATATGAAGATGCCCAATTAGACTTATATGTGTGTTAATCACAGCATTGTTTATAATGGAAAAAGCAACATAAAATGAAAAATTAGGGGAAATGACTGAATAAATTTGAAGACATTTATATTATGTGAAATCTTAATATAAGATTTTCTTGAATTATTTTTTTAATGATGACAAATAAGCAAGACATTAAAGGTAAAACTAGGATACAAAATGTAATATACAATATGGAGAGATTATTAAAATGGATTTTTTTACACAAGAAGGTATAACTTAAGAATGATATCTGTATTTTTAACCCAGGTTTAGTAAAAGAAACTCAAAAACAAAGAAAAAAATGTATTTTATTGAGGAATTTTTTTGAAAACTGTAAAATCTCATTCAACCACATGGCCTTAATTTTGTACTCTGTTCTCCAATGTTACCACATAGGTTGAGTGCCACCCATATTTCACCCAGCCAAAACTCTTGAAATTTTGCCAACAGCATGACATTGTCATTGTTGCATATAGCCCTTTGGGGACCAGTAGGGATCCAACCTGGTAAGTAACATTTCAGCAAGTATTTTCTTTGGTGTGGAGTATGAGACTAATGTGAATTACAGTACTTGACTGGAATAGTTGGCAGTGTCATCTTAAGAAACTTAATCTTTTCAAGTTGTTATCCATATATGTGAATCAGAGCTAATAACATCTTTCTCACTGAGGTGTGTAAAAATTGATTACATTATATATATGAAAATGCCTACCAGTGCCTGACATACAGCTAATTCTCAGGAAATGTAAAATTAATTAATATTTGACAAAGGAGTTTCTATGGTTATGTTACAAAAATTTTTAACTTTTTGATCTCTTCTTTCAATAATGATACTTATACTATAATATGCTTCCCAGCCTAAGTATAACTTTTTCTACTGTAAAATTATTCCAAAAGTTATGCCTCTATTTCTTCCACTTCAGTTCTCATATATTTCCCTATGTGGTTACCTCTTGCCCAGCTCTCCCTGTAAGACTTACCAAAAAAATATTACTATTTACTATCCGAAGGAGGCAACTCCACACAGTTACCTCTCTTGAACTTCTCATGCTTTATTCAATGTATATTCTGCACTCAGGGAAATTGGTTTCAGGTAACACGTAGTGTCAGTAGGTGAACAGGTGAATGGGACTATAGAAGAGGAAGGTGTTTGATTACCCCTTGGTTCTCATCACTCAAGCTAAATATGATACATGTTTTCATTTTTTTGAAGGGTGAATGTTTCTTCTCCACCTTTGTTAAAGGATGAACTTCTGAACTCATTGGGGAAAAAGTACTGTAAGACGGCAGCGCAAGTTATTTTGCGTTTCAACATCCAGCGAGGGGTGGTTGTCATTCCTAAAAGCTTTAATCCTGAAAGGGTCAAAGAAAATTTTCAAGTAAGAGAATTGCTTCTGGAGATGTGAAAAGATGAATATGTTTACTGTTTTTACTTTTATAGAATGTTAATAAGTTTAATAAGTTTTAATAAGTTAATAAGTTTTATAGAATGTTAATAAGTTTAATAAGAAACTTGCAGTGCTTTCCTGTTTTATCTTATGCCAGTTCCTTGACTCACATTTCATATCCAGATTTAATTTGAGACAATTTTTCATACTTTAGAATTGCTTTCCTTCTTGTACATCATCCAGCTCCCACATATCTTCTGTTTCCTTATCTATTGACTCTAGACACTACCTACTCTCTTCTCTACTAGCATAACAGAAATAGAAAAAGTAAGATCTGAAATTCATAATAGCCAACTTTCTACCTTCTTAATGGGTGGGAAATACTCTAGTAAAAGTTAGGGACAAATTTGAAAATTATTGGAGAGGATCATTTAGATTTTGTGAATGCTGACTGCCTTTATTTCCTCTATTAGTAATGATCAGCATTGTAACTCCCTCGTGACAGAAGAACTAAACAAAAGAGTGATTGGGACCCTGGAACCAATCCTCAGCAGATACCAAGTGAAGACTGTGTTTGTGAAACACTGCAAATATTAACTTTAGCACCAAGATCTATAGAAACAGATTTTTTCCCAAATAGTCCCCATATTTTAAGTTCCTTCCATCCTTAAAAAAAAATAAAGAGTGATTGGTTTACTTTGCTACTACTGAAGACAAAACTGCTTGGAAAATACAAGTACCATGTAAAATTCATCAATTACCCATTGATTAATCATTGAAATTTCAAAAGTAAATTGCTTGTCCAAACCCACTCATAATTAAAGATAAATAAAAATGAGATAGTACTTGTCCCTTCTTATAGGAAAATAATAAAAATGTTTGCTAATATTTGAAAAAGGGGTACTTTCACACATATTGTTAGAAACATTAAATGGTATAAGATGTGGAGGAATAAGGCATAATTTTTCCAGATTCCATCAAAATTCAAATACACATACTGCATGGTTTCATTCATATGTGGAATTTTAAAAAGTTGATCACATAGAAATGTAGAGTAGAATGGTGGTTACCAGAGACTGGGGTGGTTGGGGGAAGAGGAGTATAGGAAGATGTTGGTCAAAAGGTACAGAATTACAGTTAGACACTGGGAATAAATGTCAAGAGATCAATTGTGCAGCAAGGTGACTAATAGTCAATAATGCTCTATTGTGCTTTTTTAAAATGTAAAGAGAGTGGAATAAATTCAAATGCACATATCCATTGACCCAGCAGTATTATCCTGTAGATGTATTTGGACATACATGCATGCACACACAGAGATGTTTATTAAAAACTATTTATTAATTTTTATTTATTTTAGCATCATTTAAAAATTTTTAAAAACTAGAAGCAATCTTCAATAGGATTTTATACAAGTTATAACATATTTGTACATTGAAATATAAAGCCATTTAAAAATATGTGTAGTGACTTGGGAAGATATCCATGATATTAGACAATTACAACTTTAGAGATTTTTTTGCTAAATTGATAGAATGCAACTCAAACTTAAGCAAAGAAAAAAGATAACTATTGGCTTATATAACTGGAAAGTTCACAAGTAGATCAGAAATGGTTTGACACAGGTACTCAAATGATTTACAAGGAGATTTTGTGTTTCCCTCCCTCTCCTCCTCCCTCCCTCTCTCTCTTCCTCCCTCCCTCCCTCTTTCTCTTTCTTCTCCTTCTTTTTCTCCCTCTTCCTCTCTTTCTCTTCCCTCATGGTGGCACAGAATACCCCGAACAGCTCTAAGATAATCATTTCCTCGGTGAAGAGTGAAGACAATTACAAATAAAGGTTTCTGTCAGGCTTTCTATCAATCACTGATTGGCTCCCTGGGCTATATCCCTACTCTTGTGCTGAAGGAGATAAGGTCCTGTGACAGACAGCCCCATAAGAAGGGGGAAGGACAGTTCATGAAAAGAAAAAAGGGGATGAGATGCTAAATGATTATGTCAGCTACTGACAATACTTTGTAACATTTAACTTTTTAGTATGAAGCATTTAACAAAATGCTTCATACTAAAAAGTGGTTTGGATTTCTGGCAAGATGGTGACGGAACAGGTTAGACTGTGAGAGTCTCTGCAAAAGCGAGTGCCCATAAAGATGCTCTGTGTGAGTGGGGTGTGCCTGTGGGTGAATGAAAGTCCATCTGCGGGGAGACTTGGGTTCATGCACCCAGGGTTCTCCTCCAGAGGTGACTGCAACCCCCCACCTCCCTGAGATTGGAGCCACTGGTGCACAGGATCATCTGCTATTCTCAGGACTCTCCTGAGAAGAGACTGCAGAATACAGTTGATCCTCACCACCCGGTGCCCGGCACACACCATCACCTGTGACAGCAAAGTGGCATGAACCCTGGATCTGTGGAGAGAGGTCAGGAGAGCTGGAGAGGAGTCCTACCACCAATGAAGAAATGCTGACTGGAGGCATTGTCTCTGTCCTGGACCAGACAGGGACCTGCATGGCCCTACCCAGTTCCACCCAGCCTCCAAACTGGAACCTAGAGGTTATCTCATCAAACTCAGAGAGTCAGATACCCCTCCCCCATGCTGGAACAGGCACAAACACACCAGATCTGAGTGGGAGACTTGACAACAGTGGCAGCAAGCCGGGTGAGTCCAGATTTGATCCATTGTCCTCCCACAGTAGTCTGTGGGACATCTGACCCATACTGAGAGCAAGCCTATCATCCTGTGCTGAGAGCAGAAGGGAGGAGCTGAAGGCCAGAGCTGAAAGGAAGTTGAAGTTACAGGAATAGTCTCAGAGCAAGTTTTGGGTTTTTGTTGTTGTTTGTTTGTTTTGCTTATTTTTTGCTTTTTCTTTTGGTTTTTTTTTTTTCCTCTTCTTTCTGTTATTGATTATGTTTTCATACTTGCTTTGTTTCTGTTATTTTATTGCTTTTTTTTTACACTTCCTTTTTGTGTATGGGCATTTTTGAGGGTGAGTATGTCAATGGGGGGGGTTTGTTGGTTTGTATGTTTGTATGATTGCCTGTATGTTTTGGGTTTTTAAAAATCTTTTCTGTTTTTGTTTGTGTCTCTTTTCATTTGTTAGTTGTTATGTCAGTATGTTTCCTCTTCTTCTTCTCTCTCTTCAACTTCCTCTCATCCCCCACTCTCCTTTTGCTATTCTTTTCCTTTTTCTTGCCACATCTTGCTTTTGGGGGGCAAGCTTATACCCCCACAGCATGGACAAATTGTAAGGCAGTAGGAAGTGGGATCCAGGGGACCGACACACCTGTCAGCGGATATTGGGATCTGCAGATAGTTTCTGAATCACAGCTCCCCCCTCAATTAAATCTCAAAACAACAAAAAGTATGGCCTCCCCTCCCACAGTCCAGATTCAGAATTAAATAGAGCAAGATGATCCACATAAGGAAAAATGGAAGATTGAGCAAACAGAAGTAAAAGCTACCCCCCATTCCTGAGCAACAGAATTACAGAAAAGGTTAAAGAAAAGGGGAGGGAGGGAGGAAAATCTACACAAATGAAGAAAAACCAAAGGAAGAATATGATCCCACACAGAGCCCCCAGAATGACTGATCTCAAATCACAAACCCAGATATCAAGACATTAATAGAGAGAATAAATAGAATTGAGAACAGACAAGAGGAGAGAATGATGGAGTTGATAACTGAGATAACAGCAATAAAGAATACAGTGAATGAAATAAAAAACAAACTAATAAACATGGAAAGCAGAATTAACCAAACAGAAGAAAGAATCTCAGAGTTTGAGGACCAAAATATGAAACTAATCCAAATTATTAAAAACATAGAAAAGAAGCTTAAAAAGACAGAACAAAACCTTCAAGAGATGAGCGATTATTTCAAGAGACTGAACCAAAGATTAATTGGAATCTGTCTCTGAGGCAAAAAGAGAGAAACCACCCTGGAACAAACATTCCATTAAATTATCCAAGAAAACTTCCCTCATCTCATCAGTGGCACAACCATTCAAACACAAGAGTTTCAGAGAACCCCTACAAGACAACAAGTGAGAAGGCCAACTCTTAGACACATAGTAATTCACCCACACAAAGTAGGTATAAAAGAAAAAATCCTAAAGGAAGCAAGGGAAAAAGGTCAGATTACCTAACAGGGAAGACCAATTAGAAGAGCAGCAGATTTATCTACAGAAACACTTCAGTCTAGGAGAACTTGGAGGTCAATCTTCAAAGTTCTCAAAGATAAACAATTTCAACCAAGAATTGCCTACCTAGCTAAGCTAAGCTTCATCAGTGATGGAGAATTAAAATCCTTTCCAGACATTCAATCCCTAAGTGCTTAAGCTGCCTCTAGACTAGCTTTACAAGAAACACTTAAGAAGGTATTAAACACAGAAGAAAGAAAAAAAGAACAACAATGCCCTTCCCAAGAATGCAGGAAAAAGATTGAAAACACATATGAATCAAAAATAAAAAGAAAGAAAACAAACAAATAAGCAAACAGTAGCAACAACAACAAACTCTGTAAGAACCTCATGATGGGGATAAACTCTCACATCTCAATAATTAGTCTGAATATGAATGGACTAAATGCAGCACTGAAAATACACAGAATGGCAAAATGGATAAAATGTCATAAGGCAGTATATTGTCTCCAAGAGACTCATCTCATCAGAAAGAACATTCACAAACTTGAAGTAAGAGGATGGGAAACAAAATTTCAGGTGAACAGAACACAAAAGAAAGCAGGAGTTGCAAAACTACCAAAAATTGAAAAAGGTACAGAAGGTCACTACATAATGATAAAAGGTTAAATCCATCAACATGAAATGTCCATCCTAAACTTATATGCACCCAACATAGGAACACCAACTTTCATAAAGCAGCTTCTAGGTAAACTTAAAAAAGATATTGACTCTAATACTATCATAGCTGGGGACTTAAATATCCCACTTACAACCCTATACAGATCATCAAGACAAAAAATTAGCAAGGAGATCCAGAACCTCAACATGATGCTTGACCAAATGGATTTGATACCTACAGAATAGTCCCCCCAACAGCCATGGAATATACATTCTACTCATCACCACGTGGCACATACTTTAAGATCGACCACTTCCTCGGCCATAGATCAAGCATAACCAAATTCCATAAGATTGAAATTCTGCTATGCACCTTCTCAGACCACAGTGGAATAAAAATAAATATCAACACCAACAAAGTTTCCCCCAAACCCACAAAGACATGGACACTAAATAGCATGATGCTAAACAACTCCTGGGTCAAAATGGAAATCAAAACAGAGATTAAAAGATACCTGAAAACTAATGAAAACAAAGAAACATTTTAGCCAAACCTCTGAGATGCCATGAAATCAGTACTAAGAGGGAAATTCATATCTCTACGAACACACATGAAGAAAATGGATAGATCACAAGTTAACAACCTAACAAATCACCTAAGGAAGCTGGAAAAGCAAAAACACCAAAATCCTAACTTCAGCAGAAGAATCTAGATCACCAAAATGAAAGCCTAAATTTGGGACATAGAAGACAAAAAAGATAATACAAAAAATCAACAAAACAAAAGCTGGTTCATTGAAAAGATAAACAAGATTGATGTACCCCTAGCTAGACTGAGCAAGAAAAAGAGAGAAAAAGCCCAAATAAACACAATCAGAAATGCAAAAGATCAAGTCACAACTGACCCTGAAAAAATGCAAAAGATGATCAGAGATTACTATGTGCATGTATATGGGAATAAACTTGAAACCTAAAGAAAATGAAGAAATTTCTGACATCAAACCTCACCAGGTTGAAAAAAGAAGAAATCAAAACCCTAAGTAGACCAATAACAATCCAGAAAATTGACTGCGTCACAAGAAAGCTACCTACAAAAAAAAAAATTCCTAGAAGAGATGACTTTCCAGCATAATTCTACAAAATATGCAAGGAGGAACTGGCACCAATCCTATTGAAAGATGGAACTATCCCCAAATCATTGAGAAAGATGGAACTTGAGAAAGATGGAACTATCCCCAAATCATTTTATTTAGCTAACAGCATGTTGATACCCAAACCAGCTAAAGATCCAACAAAGAAAGTCAGGCCAATCTCCTTGATGAATATAGTTGCTAAAATTCTCAAAAAGATCCTAGCAAACTAGATCCAACAACACATCTAAAAAATCATCCACCTGCCAGGCTCGGTGGCTCAGCTTGTAATCCTGCGCCTTTGGGAGGTTGAGGTGAGTGGATTGCCT